GCTGACCCATAATGCATTCATTCATGACATGTGATCGCATTAGCCAATCAGCAGCCAGCCAGCCAGCACTGTGTAATGGTGGAGCTATAAATGGCGGCCATTTTAGAATTCTCCATTTGACTCCAGTCATTCAAGAGAGGCAGACCTCTCTGTATTAGGGACAGAGTTAGGGCCACAGAAACGTTACTTAGGGACACAGAAACGTTACTTAGGGACAGAGAAACGTTAGTCAGGGACACAGAATTGTTACTGAGGGCCACAGAATCGTTACTTAGGGCCACAGAAACGTTAGTTAGGGCCACAGAATTGTTACTCAGGGACAGACACAGAATTGTTACTGAGGGCCACAGAATTGTTACTGAGGGCCACAGAAACGTTACTCAGGGACACAGAATTGTTACTGAGGGCCACAGAACTGTTACTTAGGGCCACAGAAACGTTAGTTAGGGCCACAGAATTGTTACTCAGGGACAGACACAGAATTGTTACTGAGGGCCACAGAATTGTTACTTAGGGCCACAGAAACATTACTCAGGGACACAGAATTGTTACTGAGGGCCACAGAACTGTTACTTAGGGCCACAGAAACGTTAGTTAGGGCCACAGAATTGTTACTCAGGGACAGACACAGAATTGTTACTGAGGGCCACAGAATCGTTACTTAGGGCCACAGAAACGTTAGTTAGGGCCACAGAATTGTTACTCAGGGACAGACACAGAATTGTTACTGAGGGCCACAGAATTGTTACTGAGGGCCACAGAAACGTTACTCAGGGACACAGAATTGTTACTGAGGGCCACAGAACTGTTACTTAGGGCCACAGAAACGTTAGTTAGGGCCACAGAATTGTTACTCAGGGACAGACACAGAATTGTTACTGAGGGCCACAGAATTGTTACTTAGGGCCACAGAAACATTACTCAGGGACAACAGAATTGTTACTGAGGGCCACAGAACTGTTACTTAGGGCCACAGAAACGTTACTTAGGGCCACAGAATTGTTACTCAGGGACAGACACAGAATTGTTACTGAGGGCCACAGAACCGTTTCTTAGGGCCACAGAACCGTTACTTAGGGCCACAGAAACGTTACTTAGGGCCACAGAATTGTTACTCAGGGACAGACACAGAATTGTTACTGAGGGCCACAGAATTGTTACTGAGGGCCACAGAACCGTTACTTAGGGCCACAGAAAACGTTACTCAGGGCCATAGAATTGTTACTTAGGGCCACAGAAACGTTACTTAGGGCCACAGAATTGTTACTCAGGGACAGACACAGAATTGTTACTGAGGGACACAGAACCGTTACTTAGGGCCACAGAAACGTTACTCGGACACATAATTGTTACTGAGGGACACAGAATTGTTACTCAGGGCCACAGAATTGTTACTGAGGGACACAGAATTGTTACTCAGGGCCACAGAATTGTTACTCAGGGACATACACAGAATTGTTACTCAGGGACACAGAATTGTTACTCAGGGACACAGAATCGTTGAATTAAAGAGTATGTCAGACAACATGCAGAGGAGTGGCAGAGGAGGCAATGTTTTAGGAGCGAGCAGACGTGGCAGCAGAGGAAGGGGTCGAGGCAGCACTAGTCGCAGCCAGAGGCCAGTGCTCCCGGTGTCATCCAGCGGTCGTGTCTCCACCGACAACCCTGCCGTCATTGATTGGTTGGCTCGGTCGTCTTCCTCTTCCCAGGTCACCTCTGACACCTACAGCCAACGGTCGGTGTGTACGTCAGACACAACCGTTAGTTGGCATGGCCCGGGAGCAAGCCCACTGAAATCACGTGTCCTCTACCTGCCCCTGTCCTTTGCTGTTCCCTCACCAAGCGAAGTATCGCATGCTGTGGGCTCAGCCCCACTGTACAGTGAGGAAGAGCTAACAGAGGGCGGTCAGGAACGGGGGGAGACATCCGCCTTTTCAGCAGCCAGGCGAAGAAGTACTGGCGAGGAGAGTGGCTCGGTAGCCGGTCTAGAGACAGGTCTGTCTCCTGACCCAGACGCAGCCGAGGGGGCTAGTAGTGAGGCGGAGACCCTACTTGATGATGAGGAGGTTGATCGCACTTGGCAGCCTCGTCGTCATCAGGCAATTTCTTCCGCATCATCAGGAGAAGAGGGTGCCAGCTTGGCAGCGAGCGAAACAGTCGGTGGGTTGCCCAGGAGGCAGCAGGGTCGCAGCAGTGTCAGTGGAGCCAAACGGCCACGGAGTAGAGCACCAGCTCCACTGCAGCCTACCACCACGGCCAGTAGTGGTGCCGGTGTGCACGGAGGAAGTAGCAGTCAGCCAGTGAGGAGTAGCGGGGGCAAAGTTTCCTACTCGGCGGTGTGGCAATTTTTCGTCAAGCCGCCCGAGGAAGTAAACGTAGCCGTATGTCGACTATGTGGCCAGAAATCAAGCGTGGCCAGGGGGCCCATGTTGGGACTACAGCGTTGCGTCAGCATATGCAGCGTCGCCATTTGGTGGCCTGGGAAAACCGTGATAAAGATACGGCGGTTCTGCCTGACCCAGCCCCCGCTCCATCACCCGCTCCGTTACTTGCTCCGTCACCCGACGTCAATCGCCCTCTATCAGCCAGTCAAGGCTCCAACACCTCTGCTGAGGGGAGTTGTCGCTCGTTGGCATCTTCCGCTCGTTCAGATGCTCCTTCTCCTGCTACTCCTCTTCACGGATTCCGTCAGCAGTCTTTCTTGGAATCCGTTTCCAAGAGACAACAGTTTGCGAGCACGCACCCGACGGTGCAAAAGCTGAACGTCCTCCTGTCCAAGTTGCTGGTGCTGCAGTCCCTCCCTTTCCAACTGGTGGACTCAGCACCTTTCCGAGAAATGATGGCTTGTGCCGCGCCGCGGTGGAGAGTGCCAAGCCGTCATTTCTTCGCCAAAAAGGCAGTGCCAGCCCTGCATTCACATGTAGAAGAGATGGTGGGCCAGTCTTTGAGCATGTCGGTCTCTGCCAAAGTGCACGGCAGCGCCGACGTGTGGAGCTGTAACTACGGTCAGGGACAGTACATGTCATTTACGGCCCACTGGGTGAACGTGGTGCCGGCACAGCCGCACCAGCAACTTGGACAGGTCACGACGCTTTTGCCTCCACGTTTGCACGTCCTTGGTCCAGCAAAGATGTCCGCCTCTACCACCTCTTCTTCCGCCGTGTCCTCAGCCGCCACCCCCCCCGTGCCAAGTCCCATTACCCGACCGGCATATCACATGTGCAGGGCGCAACGGTGTCACGCTGTGCTGCACCTGGTATGCCTTGGCGAACGTAGTCACACAGGGGAGGAACTTCTGAGTGTAATGAACAGAGAAATCGACAGATGGCTGTCTCCGCGCAAACTGAAAATCGGAACCATGTTGACCGACAACGGAAAGAACATGGTGTCTGCTCTGCGTCAAGGAAGGTTGTGCCATGCGCCATGCATGGCTCACGTGTTCAATCTGGTTGTCAAGCGGTTCCTAAAATCCACCATCCCACTGCAAGACATCCTTAAAATGTCACGTAAACTTTGCATGCATTTCAGCCATTCCTACACCGCAAAGAACACCCTCCTTGAGCTGCAGCGGCAGAACGGAATTCCACAGCATCGCCTGATCTGCGACGTTGCAACAAGGTGGAATTCAACCCTACACATGTTAGACCGCCTTTACGAGCAGCGAAAGGCCATCACCGATTTCCTGATGTTACAAGCGGATAAAGGTACTCCCCTGTGTAACTTCGATGTCAGCCATTGGCAGCTCATGCGTGACACCTGCCGCTTGCTCAGGCCCTTTGAGGAGGCCACGCTATTCGTGAGTCGGCAGGACTATGGGATGAACGACGTCATTCCTCTGTTGCACGTCCTGGAACAAATGCTGTTAACAATGGCTGGTCAGGGTGCGGTAGACGTGGCGCACAGATCTCAACGCCACATGACCCCTGTGGGGGCAGGACAGGAAGAAGAGGAGGAGGTAGAGGAGGACATTTGTGCTCAGGAATTATTGAGTGAAATGGGTGGTTTTTCCACTCAGCGGACAGGAGTGGAGGAGCAGGAGCATCTGGTAGAGGAGGAGGAGGAGGAGGAGACAGAGGACCCAGACGCACCGTGGCAGTATGCTGTGGAGATGGAGGCAGGGAGTCCCTCGCATTCCTTGGCACAAATGGCCCATAGCATGCTCGGTTTGCTTGCGTAGCGACAGCCGAATAATAACCATCAGACAGAGGGATGACTTTTGGCTGTCCACCTTGTTGGACCCTCGCTACCGTTCCAAAATGGTGGCCTTTTTCACACCTGCTGAGAGGGAGGCCAAAATTACGTACTATAAAAACCACCTATGTAGTCAGTTGGTCTCTGCCTTTGTGCGCCAACGTCCATCCTCAGACACTGTGGGCCCTGTGCGCTCGCGTTCCGCTGCCATGGCAGCAGGGGAGGGGTGGGGTGGTAGGAGCAGTGGCAGCTCCACCAGCAGCGGCTGCCTCAGTCTGCAGTCGATGATGAGTAGCTTTCTTCACCAGCGCAGTGAGGAAACTACTAACCAGCCGCAGCAGCAGCAGCATCAGGTGGACCTGGAGCAGGAGCTCAAACAACAGGCTTGGGCCTACTTGGACAGCACCCTGCCAACCGAGGTAGACAATCCCCTTGACTACTGGGCAACGAAACTTGACCTTTGGCCCCAACTAGCTGAATTTGCCCTTGAAAGGCTGTCATGCCCGGCCAGTAGCGTGGCATCGGAGCGCGTGTTTAGTGCGGCAGGAGGTATTGTAACTCCGCGGAGGACACGACTGTCCACCCAAAGTGTGGAGAGACTCACGTTTGTGAAAATGAATCAGGCGTGGATTAGTCTGGATTTCAAACCACCAGTTCCTGACACAACTGACTAAATCCGCCATGAATCATGCCCCAAACATGTGCCACTTTCAGGTCTCCTCACACTGCTGGTGTGTTCAATGTTTTGACATAGGGTGCTGGCAGATTACGGGCCTCCCACAGCTGCTGCCAGGCCCCTAAATCTGCCATGGCCCCTATACTGCCTCCCTCATGCTGCTGCCAGGTCCAGAGTCTCTCATGCCATGTGCCACTTTCAGGTCTCCCTCACACACTGCTGGTGTGTTCAATTTTTTAACATAGGGTGCTGGCAGATTACGGGCCTCCCATAGCTGCTGCCAGGCCCCTAATCTGCCATGGGCCCCTATACCGCCTCCCATCATGCTGCTGCCAGGTCCAGAGTCTCTCATGCCATGTGCCACTTTCAGGTCTCCTCACACACTGCTGGTGTGTTCAATTTTTTGACATAGGGTGCTGGCAGATTACGGGCCTCCCATAGCTGCTGCCAGGCCCCTAATCTGCCATGGGCCCCTTTACCGCCTCCTCACGCTGCTGCGCAAGGTCCACAGTGTCTCATGGGTCCCTGTACCGCCTCCCATTGCTGCTGCCAGGCCCCTAATCTTCCATGGGCCCCCGTACCGCCTCCTCATGCTGCTGCCAGGTCCACAGTGTGTCATGCCATGTGCCACTTTCAGGTCTCCTCACACTGCTGCTGGTTCCATTTTGTCATAGGATGCTGGCAGATTACGTGCCTCACATTGCTGCGGCCAGGCCCCTAATCTGCCATGGGCCCCTGTACCGCCTCCTCACGCTGCTGCCAGGTCCACAGTGTGTCATGGGTCCCTGTACGGCCTCCCATTGCTGCTGTCTCCATCGCCACACTCTGCCATGTGCCACTTTCAGGTCTCCTCACACTCCTGCTGGTTTCCATTTTGTCATAGGTTGCTGGCAGATTACAGGCCTCCCATAGGTGCTGCCAGGCCCCAAATCTGCCATGGGCCCCCGTACCCGCCTGGTCACGCTGCTGCTGGGTCCACAGTGTGTCATGGGTCCCTGTACCCAGCCTCCCATTGCTCCCACTCTGCCATGTGCCACTTGAGGTCTCCTCACACTCCTGCTGGTTTCCATTTTGTCATAGGGTGCTGTATGCCCTCCCATTGCTGCTGCCTCCACCGCCACACTGTGGCTCCACACTCTGGTTTTGGCCCCGTGACTGCCCAAATGAGTGAAGTGTGCGGTGATTCTAAGATCGACGGCACTCATCTGCATGTCATACTGAGTGACAGTATTATTTCTCTTCCCCAGCAGACTCCAAGGCATTTAAATTAAAGGTACAGTGTTCTGCACTAATATAAAGGCTCTCTGAAGCCTAGAAACACCCTTTTTTAAGTTAAATTCACCGCAAATATATTCGACTCGAATCAAATTTTTTCCACGAATTCCCCCGAATCAGTCGAATCGAATTTTTGAATACGTCGCTCATCTCTAATAATGATGAAAAAAAGGC